GTTAGAATAATAAGAGCGGCCGAAATGTGGACTAGTAGGTATAGTGAGTCCTTGTGACGTGGCAACGTGCGGTGGAGCTCTTAAAGTGGAGGATATCTACCCGCCAAAAGAGTTCCAAGAATAACTGAATTAACTAACGGCTATCTATCTCTTCTTACTTTCCTTTTTCTTCATCGTCTATCTCTAAATCCCACAAAATTAGCATGAAAATCAGCTTTTACTGTTGGGATTTATCAATTTAATCCCCTCTAAATTTAGCATCCTCCTTCATCCACCACATTATATTCACTCTTAACCGGTTCCTCCATCTTTCTGGCGGCTCACATTTCGCTTCCCCCCATCTATTTCTTCTCCGTTTTCTCTTTCATCAAACGCTACTCTTCTTCACACATTTCTCAACTGTTTTCATCTACACTCACTGCCTAAAAACCCACTTCTGCTTTAAGAGTTTATGCCCCTTTTTTCTTCTCCGGACTCCATTGATTCTGGCGTAATAATCAATCTGTTGCAGATGAACTATAATGGTATTTTCCGCCTGTTTGGTTGCTAATGAAACAGTTTTGGCAAGTAATGTGGAGTTTTTTGTAAATGGGTGCTGATAGAGTTATGGTATCGTCTCCTAATAGACCAGAGGAGCAAGAGTTTCAATCCCAGAAGAGCCAGGGTTCTGTTTACACTCTCGCCATTGACGAGGTTCAAACACTGTGTAAGAAGTCGTCGTCGTCTTCTTCTTCTTCTTCTTCATTTTCACATCCCCTAATTCTAGGAAACCTTAATTTGCACGGAACACTGTGTAAGAAAACGGTAGATGAAGTCTGGAGGGATATCGTTCATTGCGATCATGGAAATGACGGCGTCCAAACCCAACAAATTCAGCGACAATTGCCGCTGGGAGAAACTAGAATTGAAGATTTTCTGGCCAGGGCTGGCATCATTAATATAGGAAATACCCATCGAAGTAACCTCATTGATCATCAACCTCTCATGTCAGTCGATCCAATGGTTATCATGTCGCATCAGCATGCAGATTGGTTGCAGTTCCAGATGTCTTCTTTCCAACAACAGCAGCAGCAGAATTTGACGATGGTGGATTCGAGTTTTTGTGTTTCTGAATCAATGTGTGAAAACCCAGTTGTGGATTGTGGTTATGGTGAGACCCAGTTAGGTGTTACAGCAATACCGCCGTTGCAGGCAATGGTAGCAACTCCGGCGGAGTCGCAGGGAGGTGGGGAGCAGAGAAAACGGCGGTACACGGATGAGATGATGGAGAAGACAATTGAGAGGAGACAGAAGAGAATGATCAAGAACCGTGAATCAGCTGCTCGATCCAGGGCGAGGAAGCAAGTTAGTATTATATATAAATATAAATATATTTTGGTAGAATTACTCAGCTGACTTAAATTCAAAATCGTGAACGTATACATATACATATATATATATATATACAGGCATATACAAATCACTTAGAGAATGAAGTGTTTCACTTAAGGAAAACAAATAGCTGGCTCAAAAAGCAAAAGGTAAATCCACGCATCAAATGCTTTTCTTTCCTTCTACTCACTCAATATATTATGTATGTATATATATAATCAGTATCTTTTTCCATCTAGGGTTGCGGGATTTAGCTGTATGTAAATTTTGATCAATTATGTAAAATCAAATACTAACGGCTACAAAAAGTAAATGTTACATATTCAATACAATACTCTTGCTATGATTATGACTTGGTGAATCTCTTGTTGTGTGTTCTTTTTGTGCAGGAAGCAGAAGTTATGTTATCGACGGTTCCAGTATCCGGGAGTAAATACCAACTGCGACGTACGAGCTCGGCTCAATTTTAGCATTATTTGCATTTTATTTTTCTTAAGGAAACCATTTTAGCATTACTAGAATATTTTTTTGGGGTTGATTTCTTTAGCTTTTACATTCTGGTTAGTTTGCTGCTGGATAAGAATTGAACAATCTCACCCTCCGCAATTTATTTGTGATTAAAGAGAAACTACCTGACTTTTCATCAATGGAGGTGAAACTTGCAAAATTTTTAATTCTCATTTGTTCCTAATGTTGCCTTCATGTAAGTCTAGTCAAAAACCTCGAAATAATTGATTCCATTATTTTCAAAAAAATAACAATTCCATCTTGTCTATTGAAAAAAGATGGATACAATTTATGAAGTAATAATTTTTCTCACAGTAGGTTGTCTAAAAAGACATTATAGTCAAAATGACACAAAACACTTTTATTGAAGAGCCAACAATAATCAAAATCTTTACACCCCAGTTGTGTTATTCGACACGCTCTTCTGATGAAGTTGCAACAGCGACAATCCAGCAGCGTATATTTTAAACTGAAACATGAACTAAACAGAAGAGATTGCTGAAATCTAAACAAAGGGAGCTCACTTTTCTGAAAATCACTTTGTTTCCATTGAAATTATATACAGGACATCTTAGTTAAATGCAAAGGCTGTTATATATACATTATTGTTTTCCATTAAAATAAGGAAAGAAACCTAAAGAAAATAAAATAAAGTGAAAAAATTGACCTACACTAGTTTATGTATGCGTGGATACCGACCTACTTATATTTCCATTCAATTTCACTCGAAAAGAAAAGAGGTTGAATTTACAGCAATACCACAGACCAATCCTCAAAGCTCACTTGTCATTTGGATCTTGGCAAAACCTGGCAAAACAACAACAAATTATTCGAAAAAAGAAAAAAAGAAACTGAGAAACTCCAGCAGAGAAAACATAATCAAATTATGCCTAAAAATTTGAACACGTACAGAAGACTAATCTGCAGACAACAATGTCTACCCTCATACAAATGTCTAAACAAGAACAAAAACAGATCAATTTTTAACTAGGTCCGCATGCTCACAGAACATCATAATATGGATGACAAGTTAGCAAATTAAAACGATCATGGCAGATCTTGTCCACAAATTTGACCAATATATTGGTTCCTTGTTTATGCAATATACATATTTTCCAATAAAATTGGGGCTAAGAAGATTTGAAAAAGAAAAGAAGGAATTCCATTCACAAGATCAAAGGCAGTGCCAGCTCAAGCGGATACTTGCAGGAGATAAGGTGTAAGAGATTGGAGGTTGGGAGATTTGTACATGAGATCTCTTTTGGAAGAGGCTTATGCTATTAATTGGACTATCTTCGAATCATATAGTAGACAAAACAAAACTAGAAAAAATTAATTTGCAATAGAACCTATTCACATACACGTGGTGGATAAACACTTCTTCAGAGGGATGAATAAGAAACAATTGAAGTACAGAAAAAGATTCTCATGTTTTTTTAACTCCATCCTTATACAAGGGGAACATAACCGAGGCCTGGAACCCACTCAATTTACAGGAAAGAGAAAAAGTACCAACCACTTCTACTAAGAGTGGTTCGTTTCGGAATTTTGAGGAATATCTTCAACAGTGTATTTGAGGGGGTAGAAGAGGAAGAAAAAGAGAACTGTCAAAGAAAAGATGCAAGCATCAGAAGTCAGAACACAGCAATGTACATTGCAACACAACTCCTAGATCTTAAGATTGCATGTATATGTGCATGTATGAATAAAACAAACATATGAACTAATGGAATGAACTCCAAGACAGCTTTGAAAAGCCTCTCCAGCTTTGAAAAGCCTCTCCGCTTTTGTAATAAAAATATAATATGTTTGTGTCTCTGTAACAATTTCCAAATTTTTATGCCAGTCTTGTTTCCCATCAAGCAAAATTATCAGGGCTATGCATGTGGCAACTTGTCAAGAGTTAGATGTGTCTAAATGGTAACTTACAGAAGTAGAAGAATTTAGTAACAACAGGTCATTTCTTAGTGGCATCAATAAACATGGCCCTAGTCCAATGCTCAACATCCTCAGTTTCTGATGGTGGAGGTGGAAAAGTAGGATGCTCAACAAGATCCCATCCATCAATAAGGCTTTCATTTTTCCCAAAATCAGAAAGCTGAGTATCAAAAAGAAAACTGGCAGCTGAATTTGGGAAGTTGTTCTCATTTAGGTTCCTCTGCAGAACAACATGAAAATATACGAATTCACAACTTATAAATGAAATTATATAGAATGAAAATCAACCTCAGATTATCCTAGTGTTATCTTTCTTTTTTCATGATCTATAAGAGACTTATTGGGCCAACAAGTTCTCTCACCAAGAAATCTTCTCCTTTCTCTCCAATCGCTCATGAACAAGAATAAATTATTTGCAAGTATTTCTACACAAGTAACCTAACGAAATAAATTCATTAACACCCAGCTAATGTTTAACCTTCCAAAATTAGATAACAACTTTTTAATTGACATCGTTGTTTTCCTCATTGTTTTTTAGAAATAAATAAATAAATAAAGGCTTCTAAAGTCACATTCATGAGAGATATACCTTGCCTCTACATGTCCATGCAGCAATATTGAGAACTGCATATTAATTGAGCAATAGGTTGTGATTTCGGAGTTGATTTTGTTCAGGGATTCTCTTACTAATGAAAAGGATTCTCTTATTAAACATTTTTTAACATAAAGGATCCTCTTATTATACTTATTAATCATGAGATGGTGGCAACTAGCTTGGTAAAAGCCCTTTGCGACCGTGCCACAAACGCAACATAAGAGTTTTGTGGAATCATGCGTAGTAACTGGCAATATGTATAGCCAAGATATTAGAACACAAAAAGGAAAAAGAGTCATAATGATTCCATCTAAAAATTTTGGATCTAATCTCCTCTTCTCCCCCATCCATCCCAGCCTCTTTTCAGTCGCACTACCAATCATAAAACAGCATTTTATTCTTGACAAAGTGACACCTAAAACTGCTAAAATCTCCAGGTGCCTGTAGGCTAGTGCCTAAGAATCACTTATCACAGTTCAATTAAAGATTTCAAATTTCTAAAACAACGTTGGGTCTTTATCTCCTTACTGCCAGCAACTTTTAGGAATAATCATGACGTGCACTATACATTTTTAATTGCATCAATTTGCCACACTTTTTTACTATTTCCAAAACCCTATTTGCTCTCAGCGAATGTTAAACTAGGATGACTGATAGCTATCTTTTTTTTAGAACTAAATATATTGAGAAATCACTTATAAATTCTATAAAATAAAAAAATTTGTCGTTAACTATTTTGCTTTAGAACAGTTTAATTTGGTTCATCAACTTGCCTCTTGCTTTCTCCTAACCAACAGCCAAGGAAGTCTATTTATTTTGTGATTGTGGCTATCTTCTGTTTTATCCTGGGTTTCTCATTTGACCATCCTTTCTACTTGAGTCCTTTTCATAATTAAGTAGTTTCTCTCTTTTGCCTTAAATGCCAAATATTTTCATTCTGACTTGGGTGCTTGGAATGTGTTATGCCATGAAATCAGTGAACTAGAAACCTAATTAACATATTTTTCCTAATTAAACTTAAAACCAAAAAACCTATGCCAAAACAGATTTATGCCTAAGGAGAAAAGCCACTTTCTTCTTCCTCTTGTCTGACCCATACAACTTCCTTTTCCCAATGACTTGATCTGCCACTTCTAGTGCAATGCCTTGTCTACTGATTCTGGGGCATAAAAAAGGGGATAGCTGTTAATTAACTGCTAAATTTTGGACGGAACAAGCTAACAGCCAAAGGAGGGGTTGGAAGATAGAGAATGTGAGGATGCAAATTAATGTAGGTAAAGATTAACAGTGCCTATTGAGACTGACCCTAAAAGTGCAGAATGTAACTGGATAAAACCAATAACGTTGGAGTCCAGAGTCATACTGTTACAGGCAGTGCATGAGCACTCTCCAATAAGGTGCTAGATGCAATGGTTGAATTCACATCCCATACAGATTTGTTCAACTGTTTAACTTGCTTGCATGACCTGTGAATCAAAAGATAAAGAATAATATAAATTGGAAGCCAAAGATTGCATAAGGTGTTGTACTATTAAATTACTCAATGTCCATGAAATCTTTCAGAAAACAACCGATGACCAATAGGAAAAACATTTTTTCCTTTGCAGGGAGAAGATAGAAACTGAAAACACGAAAAGACCTAAGATTACATAAGGTGTAGTAGAATTGAATTATCCAAAGCTCATAAGGTTTCCAAGGAAATTCCAATGAGCAATAGGAAAAACCTTTTTCCTCATCTCGGAGAAGATGGAACATGAAAATTCTAATTATCAACAATTCAAATGTAAAAGAGCTAAGGCAAGCGGTTTCCAAATAAAGCATATGTCATACTTTTTTGTTAAGGCTACATTTGCAGCAAACGGATAATTTTTGTGGAATCTATTTGGAAAATCCATACATTCAACTAAAAGAGAGAAAAAGATTTATCTAAAACGATAAATCTGAAAAATTAAGTTGATTCAATTCCATTTAGAATTTTATAGAAGGTTAAGTGTTATCGTTTTCCAAAAGAATGTTTATATTTTTCCAGTTGAAGTATGAATTTTTAAATGACTTCCACAGAAATTGTTCATTTGTTCAAACATAACCTACAATTTGTTCTTGAAAACATCAAGAATGCTTGGACTCTGCCCAAACTTGACTGCCAGCAATAATCAATTTCTAAAGGAAGTATACATTTACTTATCCTTCCAGAACCAAAATTTAGGTGGGATCATGATCACAGACAACTAATGCACAAGAAATATACCTTGAACAAGCCATTTTCAGGGAAAAAACAGATCGAACTTCCTTTGGTGAGGATAGTATCGCCAACAATTTTGCAAAAGCTTCAAAAGTAGTGGCTTCCGAAGGAACCTCAAGACATAGAAAATTGTAACAGTAAGATGTTAAACATGCCACACTTTTCTTGAGAAGAAAAATCCCTTTCTGCAAGTCTTGGTGTGCTTCAACAGAATGCGGAGAGGCGGAGTACTTGAAGCTACTACTTCCAGAAAAATCTAAGCGGGGTTTTCTGTCTGATTCCATTGAAGCAACACCGAAATTACTTGAACTTCTATCAGTCCATGAATTTTCCCCACTACTGGAGCAATAATTTTCACATGGAATAAAAAGGGGATATTCGTGGCTGCAAGACACGAACTATATTCAGTCACTCAAAAGCAACAGCTCGTGAATATAATGCATTAGGTAAGAGTTCAGGAAAATATACCTTCGAGAAGAAGGACGTGCATCCCAATAAGAAAATCTTTGCCAAATTCGTGAGCGAGAAGCCTGAAGAAAAATCAAAAGTAAATTCAATAAGAAAACATGTTCATGTATTATCATTTAAGCTCTAAAGTACCTTTAGAGCCGCGGAACTTTTTTCTTTATCAAGAAGAAGATTTTTTAAAAGGAAGAAAGGACACACAAATGGTGGATTAGGTATCCACAAAAAAAAGAAAAAAAAAAGTAGACGGGCTAGTTAGTCAGAAGAATAATAGGTCAATCTCTATGTAGAAGTGGTGAAGGAACATCCATAAAATGTCCTTGGCCTTAGCCCAAACAGAAGCCAAAGAATGAACTCTATCCCAAAGAATTGGAACAGGCAACTCATAATTCCAAAATATTCTGTATTGCATTCCAACCAAATCATCAACATTCCAGCAAAGACAGCCCCAAACCAAAGATTTTTGTGCTCCTTCCTCGGGCCCAACAACACCGAAGAGAGAAAACCTTCCACCTTTTGAGGAGAAAGCGGACACAGCCTCAAAACTTATCTGCCAATTTTTTGTCTAGGAAATTTCGAAGAACACAGAGCAATATTAGGAAAAAAAAAGTAACTGAATAACTACTTAATTTTAAGGAACCAAAGTCCTTTCAGGATGAATATCATAACCACTGATATCTGTCAGCTTGTAATAATGTAACAAGAAAGGCTCTTGAACACATTGTTACGTTTCTGAAAGAGAAAGCTGCCTCTTCCAACAAATATTTGTAGAACCTTCTAAATGGAAAAAAGGTGGTATAAATATTTTCAGAACCTCCATGAAGCTTTAAAAAAAATCTTTGAAAAAGATATTTCCAAGATAGAAGCTTGTGACCTATATCTTAACAATAGAGTCTAATAGAACTATAGTCTTTTCTGTACTGTTATTGAGTCATCATCGGATGCAATCTTTATCCAGAATCAACTTGAAAGGCTGATAAATCCCATTAGCTTCAAAGAAATAGAAAACCAATTTCATCTAGGGAACTTTGTACTATAGAACACTGGGTGAAACATGCTTACCGCAAAGCCGGTGTTATGAAGTGCAGGAGCAGCCAAATAACGGGCAACAAGATTTAGAAGTTGTACCATGTACCTGTTGCAACAACTAAATGTGAGACCATTAAGCAACTTAAGAAAATGTCTAAGAATGAAAGGCCACTTTAGTTGGAAGCCTGCTGTATGCTGCTTTATACAGTATAGATAACTGTACTTTTTTTTTTCTTTTGGACGAACTATCAGTAACTGAATGTCAGCATCAGAATAGAATGATCATAAACTTGTTTGTATCATTACAGGGACTTCTCTAACATATGGATTTCTAGCTTCGAAGAAAAGAACAAAGAAATCTTACCCCAAAGAAGCTGCAAGCTCTTCCAAAGGAACAGAGCGTGGGTCAAGCCCTCTTGGTAAGCGTGCATTACAAATTACATCATACTGATGACTGGATCCATCTTTTCCCTTTCCATCTATAGTCACCTGAAGAATAAAAAAAGATGTAGCTTACACTAAGCACCATAATTCATGAAAATCTCATGCCCACACTTGAGGAGAGGAGGACTAGCCACAACATGCATGTAACTTATGCATTCAAAAAATAGTTTCCTTATTATTGAGACATTCACATTAATCACATTTACTTGCCACTGGAGATGATAAAAAAGTTTGTTTGTGATGCTCTTACCCGACGTTGAGGAAACAATTTGCATATCTGCTTCATGACCACTGATTGCTTATGGAGACGCTCAGAGGTGATTGCCATCTGCATTCCAGAAGATTGTTTATAAGTATAAAGTGTGGTTATTCACAAGGAAAAAAGGAAATAAAAAATATCATTCCTAGCAAAATCTTCTGCAGACCAGATAATGCATAATCAGCATTACAAACCATTAACCGAAATGCACAAATAGAAAACATCACATCAAAGAGAATCTGAAGTTTAGCCTTACATGGCCAAGACTATGAGTGCAAATAAGATTAGGATAGTACTTCTCCAATTGCTCGGACCGATTTTTCTCCAGCTGCAAATACAAAACTGATGTAAACATCTTCATTCAAGTTGAAAGCAGAAACCTATACCATATGCAAAACCAATGCAGAAAACATTGCCATTCAAACTCAGAGCAAAAGACCTATATGGCCACTATTTGCAAATTCACCATCCCCTTGTCATGAAACAGAATAGAAATAAAGGGACATTAGACTACCAGGCTCTGAGCTGATTCAAGCACACCAAATTTCACTCTCAAATCATAAGACAATCTTTCGATTTTAGCCCTCCCTGCAAAAGTCATCATTCATTTAAATAAAATGTAAAATAAACAATCGGAAGGTAACAAGCAACCAAGATAAAAAAACCAGCAAACCTTGCAGTAGTCGTTCTCTATTGTGCCGAAGCTTCTCCCTCAAATTAGTAAGCTTTTCATTCTGAATCACTCGCCAATTTAGCTGATCATCGGCCTTCCCCTGTTGAAAAGTAAAACTTTTAGACCCAAGAAAGAGTCCAGAGGTCGTAACAGATTTTCTTAACCAAACCGTCTGTAAGTCAGAAATCCAACCTTTGCCACAAGCACATCACTCAATCTGGAATATAAAGCATCACGACGATTCTTCAATGACTTTAACAAAGTACTATACTCGTTTAATCTGCAGTGAAAGAGAATAAAATATGAGATGGAACACGACTGATATGGTAACTATTTCCGTAAGTTATGGCGTTTGAAGCTGCAAATTCACCCAAATGTTAATACACTTTACCTAATCAAATTCAAACAGGTAGTCAATCGGAAAAAGAAACAAATTGAAACCCATGGAAGTTGTAGGGCACGGAGAATATAGAAATCCAAAAGAACTCGCCTGTAATTGACACAAGCAGCGCAAATAGAAGCGCGATTCGAATTTTCGCAAAGAGCGCAGTTACTGGGTTTCTTGGCCATTGTCCAATTCCTCATCGCCAATACGACACAACCTGCGCATTCAACCCCGCAAAACTCCTTTTAGGAAAAGAAAAGCTGAACAACAAACATAATTAGAAGGAAATCAACAAGCGTCTCTGTTAAAAGATTGCATCGAGGAGTGATTCTTTAGCCAAACGAAAATTCCGTTGAGCTACGAAGTTTTCGAGTAACAATTTATTAGAGATTAAATGGTAATTAATTTTGAAAAGAAAAACATATTAAATAAAAATTTATAGTAGATTCCTTCTGAAGATAAATAAATTACCGGGGAATTTTGAATTTGTGAGTAGTCTGACTTGGCTGGTTAATCAAATTAACAGCTATGCAAGTTCCGGAGTCACCTCAGAAACGTGCGATGCAGTGGGGAATGGAGGATTCGAGTTTTTCCTTTTTTTTTGTGTGTGTTGATCTGAAATTTGAAGATTGAAGCCGTAACTTTAAATTTAATCTTTTAAAAAATTGATGAATATTTCTACGGATAAATTATTTAATGTTTCAAAATCTTTCATTATTATCTAATTCTTAACATTTTTTACTTTATAATTTAGTTTTAAATATTTTTATTTATTTTAAACAGTCCAATTTTCTTTTATTCCATAATAAAAAAAAATTAAAACTAATTATGTCATAGTCAAATAATATAGAAGATATATTTAGAAAAGACTTATAATATATTGAATTATGACATCATTAAAAATGGATAAAATGTACATTTTTTTACTGATTAGTGGACTAGAGATGAAATCTTATTTTTTGCATTTAGATTCCTCTCACTGCTGATATTTTTAAGAGAACCGTTTAATCTTATATGTTTCCCGATAAATTTTTTGCATTAGATTGAATTGGAATTTCCATTTTTTTTTTTGTCTAAGTTTCAAAATGATTCATATTAGAATTAAACCTAACACTCAACATTTTGATAAACCAGTTTGATCGTATACATACGGTAAATTCTCGATTAAATCTATGTGTGCTTTCTTGTTAGTGCTAAGTACACAAATACAAAATTCCATTAAAAAAATTATCTAATTCCTTCTTATTTTTAAACAAATTTTTAATTTATGTGAATCTTTACCTCCAATCGACTAATTATCAATGTTGAGAGGAAGTATCGATGTATTATTAATTACGACAATTGTTCTACATAACACAACAAACAAAGAGCTCTCTTCATGCTACTCATGACTGCATCATTGCTAAACATGTAAAGAATAATTTAATTGATAATAAGCATTCTAACACTTCTTTTTTCTCTTTCTTTTAACAGGTGGCTTATGTGGAATTTAAAGAAGAATGTTACCTCTCACTGTATTGTGGAAGGCGATATTCCCTATTTCTGGTTGGATCATTTTGAAGAAAAGAAATAAGGATGTCCATCTCTACATCGAATGCAACTATGTCATAAAAAGACTAGGTAACTTTTGCTATAATTG